GAATTAAACTAACCGAACTAATGCAGTAATCATTTATCTACCACTACTACATATTTATGTGTTGTCCTCCCCACCACCTCCGGTTCTGGAGACAGCAGCGTTCTATTGCTAAATATCTATCGCTAAATATCCAGTTGCCTTTACTGATTTTTTATAAAAACTGATCTGTGGTTTGTTTGTTTTTTAAAAAATAGTAGTTTAAAAATCAAAATAAATCACTGGTGTTTGCCAATCTCAGTAACTATGAAACTGAAATAATGTTCTAAATTTTCCAGAAATGGGGGTTGTGTTGATAGGATGCAACTAGCACATTTGGAGAACTTAAAAAAACCATACCAAAACTAACATGAGAAACAGATGAATAGTAAATTGTTTCATGGATGGGTGAAGAGATATTTCTTCCTCAAACATTACCAACACCCTTCTCTGCAAGAGTAGGATTACTAGAATTCTAAATGTTGATGTATAAACAAATGTGTATAGTAGAATTGCAATACTTGCTGCTTTATTTGATAATCAATGAGTAGAACCAATGAAATCAACTTACCTAACTTGTTCATTGATTTCACTGGGTATATACAGACTGACAGCAGTTCACTAGGGTTTCAGATGGCTGACACTTCCATTCCTTTCTGGAAATGCTGGGGACTGAACCTGTGTCCTTCTCCATGCAAAGCAGATGCTCTACCAATGAGCTCTACCACAACCCTTTTCCACTGACTCTGTTAAGGTTGCTAATTCTGGTCTGCCATTCTGTGGAGACTGGGAAGAACATGATTATGAGGGCTGCCAAGCGGATTCCCAAGCCCCTGGAACAAACATGAGAGAAGCTGTACACCAGCCTTCCGAACCTGGTCTCTTCCTGATGTTTTGAACTACAACTGTGATACCCAAATCTGATGACAGTCATAGTCTAAAATACCTTGGAGGCACAAGGTTGGGGAAGGCTTTTGTACACCACTGACACCACACTGTGGGGAGCTGCAACTGACCCACCTACCAATGTATGATTTCTCAGTGTGTGATTCTAGGGAAGAATTGAGTACATAAAACTTTGAGAAAGTATGTTTCCATTGCGTGCAAGGTAATCCTAAATTTACCCACTTTTGCAACAAGAGTGCCCCTTGCTACCTTGGGTCTTCACATTTCAAAAATGCAGTTTTATCTACAAAAAGGGCAAGGAAGGGTACCCTGAATGGAATTTAACATCCTCTGTTCGCATGCACAGCTTAGCATTTATGAATGAATGTATAAGCTATCAAAACACTGAATGTGAACTTGAAGCCCCCTTGTGGAATGAAACTATTTTGAAGATACACATTGATTTCATTTAACTACAGTCAGTTTGCCATCATTGTTACTACTTCTGTTGCTTTTAATGCACTGTGTATTTGAGAATCTTTATCTTTATACTTTTTAAATTTACCGTCTAGCAACTCCTTCCGCAAAACAGCTTAAGGCAAAAGACTTGGAATTAAGCTTATTTTTGTGCCATGGCTTTAATAGGACAAATCATCCTAAATCCAATTACTTCAGGTTAACTGAGTTGACAGCAATGGAAAAAAATGCAAGCAGAAGTATTAGGAGGCATAAAAATAAAACAGCAAGTATTGCAGTTCCACTATATACATTCATATTGTACCAACATTTAGAATTCCAATAATCCAACTCTTAAGTAGAAGGGCTTTTTAATGTCTGGCATGTTTGAGGAGTAAAAAAATCCCTCCATACACACTTGCAACCTTTTAGATTTTCAGAAACTGCATATTCTCCCTTGTGAGTTTCAGTGGTTTTGTTTTTTTATTCCAAAAATTCATAATTTTATTTCATAGTCACTAAGATTGGCGAACCCTCATGTGGAGTTTGGTGAAAATCCTAAGAACAGCAAGCATGTTCCAGATCTTAGAGGACCATCACTTCAATACACAACACCTTACCTTTAATTCTTGCCAAGAGATGAATTATACTCTCGTCCCAAGCTTTATCTTCCTGCCCTGTCAGGGCTCAAAATCCTACCACCACTACCCCATTATTCACTAACAGGTCATTACAAAAGCTAGGTGGGGATCTACTGAGGGACCATTAGATGGGGTGTAAGCACTGCTACACCGGTGCAAAAGAGCTCTGCCTATGGGACGTTAGGCCCCAGATAGGACCAACCCTACCATTAGACAGAGTGAGGCAGCTGCCTTAAGTTACAAAAGCTAATGGGTGTGGGGAGTGGCAGTGAAGTGCTAAAGGGCAGAGGTATGTGTGCTACACAGCTGCGATCTCTAAGCTAGTTTTATGCCCTCAGAGGTGGTGGTAGACACTATCCTGTTGCCTGTGATGAAAGAGGATTCAACTGACAGTCCAGTCAGCTTCTATGCACAGAAGAGAGTGGGTGGGTGCCATCTTTTCTTTTGTCTCAGGCAGCAAACTGTCTCAATCTGTCCCTCACCCTGGAAGAGCCCCTTGAATGCTGGCAGAATGCTGCAGTATAAAGATGCATCACCAGCGACAGGGAGTTTTGTGGTCCTGTCGGAAGCAAGACAAGGGTAGCCTAGGATCTACAGGATCCAAAGCCCCTTTGTTCCCCCAACATATACATGGATTGCCAATCTAGGATCAAGTTCAAAGCTATGCCAGCCCTGGAGCTGACATAGTTAATTACCCTCCCAATGCAACCAGTGGGACAGGAACGTAAGGAGCTACCTTATACTGAGTCAGTCCATCTTGCTTAGTGTTTTTAACACTGACTGGCAGTGGCTTTCCAGGGAACATTCCCAACCCTACCTGGAAATGCCAGAGATTGAATCTCAGACCTTCTGCATGGCTCCAAAAAAGAGAAGGTAAGGAAGCTAGCCCCACCTCCTAATCTGGATGGAAGAAGCCAGCAGATTAGAACAACAGCCGACCACTCTCACCCCACTCTATGATGGGACTGAAGCCTAAGACTAAGAGGCAGCAGTTTTAAAAACTTGTTTTAATTGGATTTTTAGCCTGCCCTAGGCTCAGGGCAGGTTGCAACCTACTTTGATCACAAGATGAAAACAAACAAACAATTTGAATAGGAAAAAAATAAAAATAAATGATAACCATCACACAATATCCAAGTAGATTCCAAATTAATATCCACTGTATCAAGGTTTACACTGGTTTCTAGAAACCAAACAAAAAGAGCAAAAATATGCTGCCTTTAAAAAACACTGAGTAATTTTGGTTGCTGCAAAATGGAACAGTCATTCCTTTGTCTGGCACCCAATGAACTAAGCATGTAAATCAGTTCTTGTTTCAACTTCACTAGCTACCTGTTGAAATCAAAGGCCTTGTCTTAGCATTTAAAGACTTGCATGGTCTCAGACCTGGTTACCACAAGGACCACCTGTTCCTAAACGGGCTTTAAAATTTGTCTTGCATACCCATCATTAGAGGTCAAGTGAGTACATGAAGACATTGTTGTTGACAAATAAAGCCCTGAACAACTTAGGAGCAGATTACCTGAAAGACCATTGCCACTGTATGGACATGTAAGATCACTTAGCTGGTTTAAGAAATTCTACTCATGATACCACATCCTACATTATGCCTTAGGTTGGTCACCTGAAAACAGGCATTTTCCACTTTCGCCCCTCTACCATGGAACGGCCTTCCCTCTGCCATACATGAAGCAGCAACCATCAGCAGCTTCAGATGGCCTGAAAATATTTCTCTCTTTGCCCAGGTTTTCCATGACCCATCTTTGTTTTTCATCTGCATGAATTCCCTGAATCCAGTTTAATTTGTTTTTATATGCTTTTATGCTAATGTTCTACAGGTTTTATTATGTCTTTTTGTTTTAATTTTGTTTTAATTATATTGTTACCTGTTTTACACTGTACACCACTTAAGAATTTTTAAAATATTCAGTGGCTTATAAGTATTTTAAATAAATAAATAAATGCAAGAAGCAGGGCCTTCTCTGTGGTGGCTTGGTGCTCTAGTAAAGATTCATCAGGCTCTCTCTTTGCTGTCTTTTAGATGAAAAGTGAAAACATTTTTATTTTGACAGGCTTTTAATGCATATTTTTCTGCAGCTATTCAAACTGGTCTTTTTTCTGCTTCAAGACTACAACATCTTACTGTATATTTTGTAAGTATAATGATTATATGTGTCGTGATTCCCCCTCCCCCTTACATCCAAGCTGCTCAGAGTGCTCCAAGCTCCAAACTGTTGTCATCATCATCATTTTTTGAAAGGACTAGCTGAGCAACCTGTGACCCTCCAAAAGTAATTGAAATTCAATTCCCATCATTCTTGACCATTGCATGGACATGATGGCTGGTGCTGATGACAGCTGGAGCCCAAAAACAACTGGAGAACCATAGGATCTCCATCACTGATACTAAATGAATACAAGTAAGCCTGGGCTAATTGGTGACTTCCAGCCAGGAAAAGCAAAATACCTGGGGGCAGTAGCTGGGCCTGGGAAGCCACTCACTATTTACGTTTTCCACAGTGCCCCAGAGTGATGCTACATTAGGGATGGGGAACCTATTGCCCTTCAGATGTTGTTAAGATTCCAGCACTCATCAGCCTCAGTCAACACGGCCAGAGGTGATGGTCAGAGGGGATGGAAGCTGAAGGCTAACAACATTTGGAGAGCAACAGGTTCCCCAACATGCTCTGGGTCCCTGTTTGAAATGTAATATCCTAGACCCAGCAGCTATTGCCAGATAAGCCTGTGACCAGCACAACAAATGTGCAGTAAAGCAAAGCAGATGAAGCAGGGCTGATCAGCCTTCCAGTGCACTTGAGCCTTGGCAGCTGGGTGATGGCGCCAGCTCAGAGGTGCACAGAGTTGTCACAGGATGCAACTCTGAGCTCACCAACATCCTTAGTTAGCAGAACATCTTTGAAGACCTCAACTGGAAGGAGCATGGATCTCCAGATACATTTCACATCCAGGTGGTATGAAACAGAAAGACCCAGTATATTTTCTCTAAAGAAATAAGAAAATATACAAGAAAGGGGCTTGAAGGGACATGTAGCTCAGAGGTAGAACATTTGCCTTGCATGCAGAAGGTCCCAGGTTCCATCCCCAGCTTCTCCAGGTAGAGCTGGGAATGTTCCTTGCCAAAAGCCATGGAGAGCCACTGCCAGTCAGTGGAGACAATACTGACCCAAATGGACCAATGAAGCAACTTCCGATGTTCCGATATCTGGCTGCACCCCTGCCTCCTGGCCAGCTAGCCTCATGTTGTAACAGCAGTCCTGTCTTCATGCTAGCTCTGGAGCCCTTAATCTTGCTACCCGTTTACCTAAAAGCTGTCTGTTCAGCTCTGAACCTTTGGGTATGCCTTTAAACCTGGATGCTTCTTGATTCATTGACCAGTTTATCAGCTGTCATTGATCTCCTTCTGACATGATATCCCATTTACTGGTCTTCTGAGCTAGAGACTCAAACTTGTTGTTGTTGTTTAGTCGTTTAGTCGTGTCCGACTCTCTGTGACCCCATGGACCAGAGCAAGCCTGTGCACCACACAAAATAGAACTGTTATCAGTTTCCAATGCATTGCAGGGTACCAAAAGGCGTTGCATATATGCACAACATTCCTACTGTTGTACGGCATATGAAAAACAGAAATTCACAGTGAACATTGCTAACTTGCTTGTTAAGATATTTGAATTAACACACAATGTGGGAATGACTTGGATCGCAACAGGCTACATTTGATGACCCTGGAAAATTCCACCTACACCTCATGGGTAAGCCAACAATCTGGGTCTTTCCCACTTGACTGGCACCCATTATCATAGAAGACAGTAACTCGGTGCTAATGAGAGTTGTATAAAATGGGCCAAGGCAATCCACTGGACACAATTCAGCCAAACACATGGGGTAATAGCCAGCTAAGTCATGCTCAGGCTAGATCCATTGATATAAATGACCTTAAGTTGATTTCAGTGGGTCTACTCTGAGTATGACTAATGTTGAATATCGCAATACAAATCCCCTTGGTTTTGGCAGAGAATGCCTACGTCATTCCCACTGAAACCAGTGGGATTTAACTTTGACTGGATCATACCCTATATAATTAACACATATTTTCTTCCTCTCTATATATATTTCAGAAAGCATATTGTTAAGCAAGGGAGCCATATAATATGGTATGATTTTTTAAAAAACAAAAAGTTCCCGGACTTTCATGATGTACATGAGGCTGTTAATTTCAATGTCATTTTATGATTTTTTTTTTGGCTGAAGCAACAATATGTATGTATGCATGTATGTAAGCAAGGAGAACAAATGTGTTTTGTATTAAAATTTATACAACTCCATACATTTTTATGCTGTTTATTTGAAAATTAATTTTGGCTTCGGGCTCTGAGACGGCAAACGTTGTCAAGATTTGAGGGCTACCTGAAAAGCCTTAGGGACAGCATTACGCTTATGCATAAGAAACAGCAAAATAAAATAAAAATAAATGAATTTCCAAATACGTCATGGCTAATCCCTGGAGCTGACCTACAAATGAATTATGGAGGTTTGGCTACGGGACTGAGTCGATCTTGTGATTTTCACAGAGAGATTTATCTTATTTTCCCAACTTATTTTCATATCTTATTTCCTTTTCTTTTCGAATTAGACTGTAAATTTTAAAAAAGCATGGAGATGGAATGAAGCTTCCTTTCCCTGCTCTCATATTGGATTGATAAATTAAAACGGTAAGATGAGTTTTTGTATGACCCATCCTCGAGGATTTGGGAAAATTTAGCTGATGCAAAACAAGGCATTAATTTGGAGAGGCCTAGCCTCTTACAATGCTTAGTATTCTGACAATGATGAATGGCACCAGTCCAAGCAAATGGTAATTTCACTTTTTGTGACAGTACTTTAGAGCAAAACCGACTTTCTTCACACAAAGAATTTGCAATCCTATTGAAGAGAAGCTGTACCTGAATATCAGAAATCCTTCATTGTTTAAGTATCATCTGATATTCTTGATTGGCTTCAGACTGAAGGTTGCAGTTGAATTAGGAGAGAACGAAGGTTAAGTCCTAACCTTGAAAGATTTAGCAGCCATTGAAACACTGCCTTTGGGCACTTATTGGGCCCGTATTTATAAAAAAAAACAAAAAAAAACTTTTCAATTCAATGAGGGGGAGGGAGAAAGCACAAAACTTGTCACATTCATCAAGTGAAGCCACTGGAAAGACATCTACAGAAGAACACCCAAAAAGCATAATCTTTCAGAAAAGCTGATAGAAATGGTAATTGAATGGGTGAGGAATAATGCTACCAAAGCATGGGTAGGAGAGAATATAGCTTTAAAAAAAAATCAATGTCACTAACAGAGAATGTAACCTTTTTTTAACATATGAAAATGTACATTTGGCTTCTGTATAATAAAATATTTATTTGGCAGCATGTAAAACATTATGTAGATATGAAAACAGCTTTGCAGGGGAAACAGACAGGAGATCAATTCTAGGTTTTGGAAAAAAAGAAGCAGCATATTATACGTAAGTAGAATTAAGTGTGTTGCTTTTCTGGTAGTTAGAAAACTGACATTCTGAAATACACATCTTTTTTTTCTTTCTTTAAAAAATGTCCCTAAGGTATTGAAAAATCCTTTTCTAGGATTGGCAGAAGTTCTAACATTGTCTCCTTAATAGGGAGCAGAAATGATGAATCATAAAAACCTGATTGCTGGCCTTCCTGCCTCCTTGCTAGCAAACTAATCAGAGCTGGCAAAGCAAGTGACATGTGTAAACAGATGAGTTGTACGTGGGTGCAAGATTGTCCCTTTGTTATCTTACACAAACACCTCTTGCATGGAATATCAGGCATTTCTGGCACATTGCAGAGTTTGTGTGTCATGGGTCCCATCCAGCTGTGCGTAAAGAGGAAGTACTGAAGTGTTGTGTCGCAGAACTTGGGTTTAATGGCACGGATGCAGGTGTCTCCTTTCCTGATGAAGACATCAGCTAAGGAGGATTTTTTTTCTATTAAAAAGAAATCTGTGAAAGATCAGTTTCCACACACACTAAGCTCTCTGAGAGTCAGTTCACAGTTTATGTAGCAGTCAGGTTTCACCAGTGCTAGCTGTGATCAGCACAGAAAGCATGAATGGGAGAAACTCAAAGTTGAACACTGGAAAACTGCAGTTGGCAGTGGTTACCTGCCTTTGCTGTGCCAACAACAGTGGAACCTGACTACCACATTTAATGTGAAATAGCTTTGGATAATTAATTGCAACAGATTCTACCAGAAACACTAATGCCTTATTATTATTATTATTATTATTATTATTATTTATACCCCACCCATCTGGCTGGGTTTCCCAATCACTATGCTCTGCAGGAGAGGGCCTCATTGATAATGCCATATTACCATGAGATCCATTTGGCTCCTTATGATATAGGAATTAGGCTTTAGTGTGGCAACACCAAACGTTTGGAACTCACTCCCATTACAGATCAGATTGGCACTGTATTACTTTTCTGGTGCCTTTTTCAACAAACCTTTTATGTCAGTATGCGCCTGTATTATGCCTGTATTGGATTTGAAATTGTTTTTGTTTGTATATATAGGATTGTTTGCAATCGTTTTTATGGCTGATAAAAGTAGCTTTGAGATATTTTATAGGAATTAAATAAATAGACAGCCTAACCTGTTTATAAATAGTCCAGGGCTGGTAATATACACATATCTATGTCTATATCTATCTCGATCTCGATCTCGATCTCTATGCCTATGGCTACATCCATATCTGTCTATCTCCACATCTGTGCTATACATTTAAAGCAGTATCATACCACTTTAAATAGTCATGGCTTCTCCCAAAGAGTGCTGGGAACTATAGGTTGTTAAGGGTGCTGAGAGCTGTTAGGAGATCCCTATTCCCCTCACAGAGCTACAGTTACCAGGGTGGTTTAACAGTCATCTTCTATTCTAAGGAAAAGGTAGCTCTGTAAGGGGAATAGCCCCAGCCAACATGAACAATATCCAGGGATGCTGATCTGTAGTCCAGTAACATCTGGAGTGCCATAGGTTCCCTATCCATGCTGTACACATGCACCAGGGGAGAACTACATAAAAAAAACTTAAAAGAGAATGTTTGCCAACTTCGCATGTTCTTCTATAGCATCTATAACAGCATTTATAAAGTTATATATGAATGTTCAAAACTCATGTTCATGTATAATTTCACAGTAGTTCTAAGAATCCTGAAAGCTACCCAGTATTGTTTTTGTGGTGGTGATGGGAGGGCTGAGTCTGAAAGAATGATAGTTCACATACCTTCTCACAGTAGTTCTAAGAACATTGCAAGGTAGGCTAGTATTATAACTAGATATTTGAGGACAGGTTAAGTCAGAGAATAAGGGCTCTAAATCAACAACTGAGTTGAAATGTGTACCTGAGGCTTCTTAGTTCACATTAGCCACTGCACTAGCTCAACTAAAATTTTGGCTATTTGGCTACTACAGCAACAGCTATTATTACTACAACAAATTACTATTCACTTTGTGTCAACAGCATAGGGGTTGTAGAGAACCCAGAGGTGAGACATTCCCTCCTTGTTCAGAGAGCATGCAATGTATGTTAGGTAGAATCATAGAATTGTAGAGTTGGAAGGAACCCCGGGTCATCTAGTCCACCCCTTCAATGCAGGATTAGTATTATTATTATTACTATATTAATTGAATTTGTATGCTACTCTATACCCATAGATCTCAGGGCAGTTCAGAACATAAAATTACAATATAAAAAAGACAAAATACATAATAAAAAATAAGAACAAAAACAAACCAATAATCCCCCAATATCAGATAAGATGTGGTGTAGGTCAAAATGTGATAAAGTAGTGAGGATAAGTTAGAAGTCAAATGAGCAGTAAAGCAAGTTAGCCAGTGTGCTGCAAAAAAGTGAAGACATTGAAAGAGGAAAGAGTGCTGTTTTTGTGGTGGGGAAAACTGTAAAGAGCATCATATGGAGAGAGTACTGTTGCACTCATATCCTGCTTGAAGACTTCTTACAGGCATCTCATTGGCGGCTGTTAGAACAGGATGTAGGTCTAGAAATGCACTAGGATTCAGTGATATTGA